AATATCTGTTTTTAGGGGAAACTTGGGTAATTATATAATGACTTTCCCATCACTTTTTATCTATTTAGGTTAAGTATATGTAAGGTTTGAAATAAACAATGCTAACCTAGTTTGGGAATATACTAGAATATTCTTAGCTTCTGTCTCAAGGGAGCCCTAGTTAAAAGGTAATAACCTTCCAATCAAAACTTTAAATGTCATTACAAATTGAAGAGAGAGCTAATAAACCCCAAAACATTAACACATACTGAGATCAAAATTTAAAAGGTCATATACACATAAAAGCTGACAAGCTGATTCTAAAATGTATATGGAATGCTGAGGACCTAGGCTATCCAAGCCATCTTGAAAAAGAACCAAGTGGGAGAGCTTAAACTGACCTTAAATCTGACTTCAGTACTACAGGCACAGCAACGGTGACACTGATTTGTAATAAATATACGTTCTTCCTCCCACTCTTGGTACAGAGCTCCTCAAACCTTTGGAATTTCGTAAGTGAAATGAGTAATGAAGGTGAAAGGAGCAAGGAGCCTTTTGTTATTCCTAACAAGCCCTTTTCAGCCACACCTGAGTTTGTCAATGAGGTGACTTTTGGAAAGCCCCACCCCCTGACCTCCGAAAGAGAGGCTGGAAGTTGAGGAAGCCCTTGCAAAACTCCCTAAAATACAAGGGTTGGGGGAGGCAGTGTTCAGAGAGCTTCCAGGTTGGTGACCATGTGGAGGTCCGGGGAGGGTGGCATACCCAGAAAAGGCACGGAAGCACTGTGCTCCTGCCCTCATACCTTGCCCTATGTATCTCTTTAATCAGGCTGTTCCCTGAGTTGTATCCTTTAAAGTAAATTGATAATCTAGTAAGTAAACTGTTTTCTGAGTTCTATGAGACTCTCTTTAACAAGTTATGGAACCCTAAGGAGGGGACTGACAGAACCCTCTGATTTATAGCCACTTGGTCAGAAGAACAGGTGACAACCTGGACCTCGCAAGGGGCATTGAACTGGGGGTAGGAGGGCAGTCTTGTGAGCCCGTAACCTATTGGGTCTGTGCCAACCCCAGGTAGTGTTAGAATTGAATTGATCTGTAGGAACCCAGTTCGTGTCGAAGAGAATTGGTGTGGGAAAAATACGCATTTGCAAGAATGTCCCTATTAGGAAAGGGAAAGATACTTGTCAATAAAATTCACATGGATTATTTTGACAACCACAAATTTTGTCAGAACAGACATTTCAAATGTAAAATGTAATCAATCCTCTTACCAGCTCCAAATGGCACATAGGCAAACTTCTCTCCTGATGCTGGATTGTCTTGTAAGTAGCGATCGGGATTAAAGTCCAGACGTTCTATCCATGAATCTTTCAGTCTGTGATTGACAGTAGGAGAAACACACACCTGATGTCCCGGAGGAATGGTATATCCTGCCACAGTCTACAAATGAAAGCAATACATTTCATTAGATAATTTTAAGACATTCTATCAAATAACCAGGTGTAACAAAACCTTAATATACATGAGATATGCATATATTTTAAAACTAGCTAGATAACAGGCCAGCTAAAAATTATTTTAACTGAAGATATTTGCAAGTGACCCAATATTGGGCTAGAACAGGGGTCAGCAAACTGCGGCTCATAAGCCACATGCGGCTCTTTGAGTACGTACATGTAGCTCTGAAGTAAAATTGAAATTGAAAATAAAGCTATCATAGTTTCATTTATAAAATTTTTAAAGGATATTATTCACATAATGGTGATTTCATTTGTTTTATGGCTCTCGAATAATTTTTAAATTGTGAGGGACAGGATTGGCTCTTCTGTCTCAAAAGTTTGCCAACCCCTGGGCTAGAAGTATATACACAAATTTAAAAAGTCAATGCCCTGGTGGTAGGGATGGGATTTTTAAGGAGCTTTTCACAATTTTATTTATATACTTCAGTATTGTTACTTTTTTTTTTACAACCAAATGTTATTTAAAAAAAAAAAACTGTACTTCCATTTAAAAAACCCTAATTGTTAACTAAAAACACAGGGAACAGGTAAGCCTGTCTACTGTCAGCAATATATATATGTATTACATATAATATATATATGTAAAAATATATATTTGGGATATGTAAAATTGAAAAGTATGTAGAAGTGATTATTCTACTTTTTTAATTTAAAAAAAATTCTCTTTCTGGAAATCATCTTTTGATATATAAATACTAGGGGCACAGAGGGGGAAATCTAGCCAAGAAACTAACCTGAGGCGTTTTGGCCATTCTCATCATGGTCATTATAGGAGGTCGAAGTCTTAATGTTTCTTTTATACAGCGATCAAGTAAATTTAGATCTTTGACCTAAAAAGAAAAAACATTTCCTGAGTTTTACAATATAACATACTACAACAGTATTTTAAGTTAAATATTATTTTATAAATTAAAATTTATTTAGTTAATTTTACTTAAGTCAAAATTATTTTAACTTCTGGATTATTACAAAATAGCTTATATTCTGAGTAGAATTACAGAGGTAACTGGTTCGGGGTAGCTGGGATTAATCTTGTTCTATCGCTATCCATGACCAACAAGGGAAAGGAGGGTAATGTAACAGATCACCCTGAAGAATGGCATAGTAAGGACCTGCAAAAATGCACTCATCTAAAAAAACACACTAGCAAGTATCATTAATGTCAGCTTTTTCAAAACCTGTACACAAAATGTTTAGAGCAGCATTACCGATACTAGCCAAACAGAAAAATGAATAAACAAATGTGGTATATCCATATGATGGAATATTACGGGGCAATAAAAAAGACTGAGGTACTGATACATACATACTACAACATGGATTAACCTTGAAGCATGCTTAAGTGAAAGAAGCCAGTCACAAAAGACCACACATTGTATGAATGTGGTCATTTATATGAAATGTCCAGAACAGGCAAATCCATAGACAAAAATTAGGTTAGTGGTTGCCAGGAGTAGGACGCAAGGGAAATGCTAACAGATACCGGCTCTCCTTTGAAAGTGATACAAATGTTCTAAAATTCAATTGTTAATGGTTTAACAACTCTGAATATATTTTTTTTAAAACAGTGAACAGTATACTTTAAATGGATAAATTTTAAACCGTATGCTTTAAATGGATGAAATGTCAACTAAGCTATTATTTTAAAAGTTACTAAAATCAAGAATGAAAGAGGAGACATTACTACTGACCTTACAGAAATAAAAGGGATTATAAGAGACTACTATAACAATTGTATGCCAACAAATTAGGCATATGAAATGGAAAAATTCCTAGAAAGACAAACTACCAAAACTGACTCAAGAAGAATAAAACATATGAATAGACCTGTACCAATTAGAGATTGAATTAGTAATCAAAAAGCTTCCTAGATGGCTTCTCTGGTGAACTGGATTAGACATTTAAGAAAGAATTACCACCAATCCTTCACAAACTCATCCAAAAACAAAGAGAAAGGAATCACTTCCAAACTCATTCTATGAGACCGGTATTACTCTGATACCAACAATTATCAAAGACATCACAACAAAATTACACACCAACATCCCTTATAAATGTAGATACAAAAATACTCCACAAAATATCAGCAAACCAAATCCAGCATTAGGACATTTCAGAGAGGACTATGGGGAATTTTCAGAAAATAAAAAAGCTAACCAATTTATAGTATATAGAAAATCTCAAATTGTCCCCTTTATTTTTTAATTCTATTTATTTTTTCACCCATCCTCCCATCCCTCCTCCCCTTTGGCAACTAATCAGTTTGCTCGCTGTGGGTTTCTGTCTGGGTTTTTTTAGATTCCACATACAAAAATCAAAAGGTATTTGCCTTTCTCTATTCAACTTATTTCACTTAGCTTAATAGCCTCTACGTCCATCCATGTTGTCACAAATGACATGATTTTATTCTTTTTTTACTGCCAAGTAATATTCCATTGTATAAATGTACAACATCTTTATCCACTGACTTATTGATTGACACTTAGGTTGATTCCATACCTCAGCTATTGTAAATAATGCTGCAGTAGGGAAGCACGTATCTTTTTGAATTAATGTTTTGGATTTCTTCAGATAAATACCTAAAAGTGGAATTGCTGGTAGTTTTATTTTTAATTTTTTGAGGAACCTCCATACTATTTTCCATAGTGGTTGCACCAATTTATATTCTCACCAACAGTACACGAGGGTTCCCTTTTGTCCACATCCTCACCAGCACTTGTTATTTTTTGATTTAGTGACGATAGCCATTTTGACAGGTGAGAGGTGATACCTCATTGTGGTTTTGATTTGCATTTCCCCGATGACTGGTGATGTTGACCACCTTTTCATATGTCTGTTGGCCATCTGTATGTTCTCTTCGGAGAAATGTCCATTCAGGTCCTCTGCCCATTTTTTAATTAGGTTGTCATTTTGGTTTCAAGTTGTGTGAGTTCCTTATATATTTTGGATATTAATCCCTTATTGGATGTATCATTTGCAAATATCTTCTCCCATTCAGTAGGTTGTCTTTTCGTTTTGTTGATGGTTTCCTTCACTGTGCAAAAACTTTTTAGTTTGATGTAGTCCCATTTGTTTATTTTTGCTTTTGTTGCTCAAACTGTCCTCTTTAAAAATTAGCCACAAATACTCAAATAAGGAAGCAAAGAAACTGAAAATCAACAAACCTGGTCATAAGTTAAAGGAGGTAGATCCTCTCCACAGACTGTTTTCTGTTCTAGATAACATTTTTCTTGAAGTGTTTTGTCTCTGGCCAAAAAGAAGCCCATCCAGGCACTGGTAGTTGAGGATGTATGCTGCCCTGCTAAGAGCAGTCCAATAAGCATGCCTGCTATTTCATCATCTGTCAGAGGACGCCCATCCCTATGGAATGAAGCACACCCACAAATTTAACATTTGGGTAGACACATTTCATGTCTCATCCTTTACATTAAGGATCATAATGAATAAATTTTTCAGGTATAATATCCTTTTGTTTTGCACATCATGAGTCAGATTTTTTTTTTCCCCATTACGGAAAAGAAACAGACCGATAGAAAATGCGATTTTGATTATAAAGGACTTCACTGCAGTTTCCTAGCAAACTTTTCACCATGCACAGTCACTGGGATTCCAGTAAGGCATGGGACCTAATAATTTATGTCTCATCCATTTAAAAATCTAAAGGCCATAGCTACTGACTCTGCCAGCATCATTACTTTTTAACTGGATATATTATTTAACTATGTTTTAATGTGTAATTTTCTGCTTCAGCTTAATACATGACCTGAACAGCTCTTACTTGTAAGTGGAATCTAGTAAAGTCTGGAGAACGTCATCATTTTTTTCTTCTGACTGTCTGCGTTTCTGAATTGCCTTATAGAAAATATTCTTTATCTCTCGATGAGCTCTGTCCCTGCGTCTGTAAATCAAAGAAGAAAATAACTTCAAAAAAATAAAGCAATGCTTTCTGGCATTAAATTCATTTAGAAAATAACCAGAACCTAGCTTAAAGCAACCCTAACTTTAACGACTCTAAAATAATTGACAAAACTCAGGAACAAGAGAAAAAAAAAGACACCATGAAAATCACAGTTAGGAACTTTTAGGGTCCCTCAGGGAAAGAAATGTGTATCTTGAAGCAGACGAGAGTCACTCTGGTTCTTCTGTAGGATTTGGGATTTGAATAAACCTAGGATTCATTTAGGATCATCTGAATCTAGAACTTAGAATATGACTATAGCATATAGGGTTTGAGTCTACTTTTCATTTTCTAACAAAACATAGGATTTTATAGGAGGTAAAAATAATAGTAGAGTCAGAAAACAAACTTGAACTCCCAAAATTTTACCTTTAAAATAGGGTGCTCACTAGGTAACAGGTACTGTAGGTGTTTTACATGAATTACCCACTTTGACCTGTGAGGTAGGTGCTATTATTCTCACTGCACCGATAGCTGCATAAGATCGCATAGCCAGTGAGCAGTGGAGCCAAAATTTAAAACCCAACAATCTGATTACCTCGCCCCTCTTAATGAAGCCTTCTAATAAACATCCAATTTAAAACCCAACAATCTGATTACCTCTCCCCTCTTAATGAAGCCTTCTAATAAACATCCCTGCCCTGCTTCGTTTTTAAGACTGTTACTAAGGATCGAATAAGATAATGTGGGCAGAAGGGAAGATGACATCGAAGTTTAACAGTATGAACACAGCAGAGCCAGGAAAGCATAAGGCCTGTTTGAGAAAGTGAACGGAATACTTCCGCTAAATCAGTTGGTTTGGGTAAGGCAGAGAAAGACTGGGCTGGAAAGACTAGTCAAGGGCCTATCATACCAAGCTCAGGAATTTCTGACTTCATCCAGGAGACAGGGAAGGTGGAAAAAGGCTCAATGCACATTTATGGAGACCCTACTAGAGGCCCAGGGCTGTGCTAGATGTTTTAACATAATACGGGTGAAAGCATTTTGAAAATTGCATAGCTCCCCACAATTGTACGATATTGATGAGTTCCAAAGAACAACAGAGAACCTCTCCTGCTCTGCCTTTATTCCCACCACTCTTTATTCTGTAAGTAGATAGAAGTGCAGAAATGGAAGGAAAAGTACCAATTTAACACCTCCCCACCTCTCACTTGAACAGAATCAATGAAGGTATAGAAAGCCTACTAATATGAAAACACTAATACACCAATTCCTATGAGCAATATTTCTTTGTATCACTGGTGGTCCCCGCCCTTTAGGTAATCACAGTACAGCTGGCAAGGAGATAAAATTAAAGAAAGGCACTAATACTTCAAACAAAGCAATTTCACAATAGACTGCAAAACAGTCAAATACTTTCAGGGCTGTATCACTTAATTCAGAAACTTTCCTGAGTATAAGGCATATGTGAGATAAGTAGATTTTAAAATATTAGAACCGACAGACAACAAATTACCTTTGCAATAAACTGAAAATTACCTTAAATGAGCTCACTATATAGTTTATATAAAGAAAATTTGTCTTGAATTCTTATGAAGAATGGGGACTCATAATCTCCCCCAATTTATTTGTTCTGTGTTTCAGTTTTCTCTTACCAAAGCATACCAACACTACAGCGATTATACAAAGCTAAATCACCATATATATAATCTGTTTATCCATACCTGAAACTAGGCAAAGGGAGCCAACCAGGCAACAGCCAGGCTGCGTGGCTGAAACCCCCGTCCAAATCTGCATACAGCTGTGCCACCTTCTCGTTGAGTTGACTTCTGATTTCCTTTCCATGTAAACAATGACTAGCTGTTAAGATTATAAGCTCAGAAAGAGCTTCAAACAAATCTACAGGGAAAAAGATTATTCCCATTAATATTGCCAAAAATTATTTAGAAATGTCCTGTTTTCTTAGATATAAAATAATGATGAAGGAAAACCGAATAAAAACTCAAGAACCAACAAGGTCCTATTCATATCATCAAAAAAGCTGATAGACATATAGATATGTGGCCACCCTGCTACACAAAACAGAGACAAGAAACCAAATGATAGGAAGCACCCCCTCCCCTGTAAACAGCCAAAATCTATGCCACAAAGGCGTCTCTAAACCTCATTCATAAACCCTTCACCTTGAAAAGACAAAATGAAGATGAAAATGAATGTGGTGATCTGCGTTCCTCACAGTATACGCAAAGCAGCAAAAAAGGTCCTTTAGTGCATATGAGGACAGCAGTGAGGTGCTTCCCAAGGAACAGCAGTCCTAAAACTGAAGATGGATCATTCCCACTGGGAAGGTCAGAACTAGACAATTAAATTGTTGACTTTTATTTGTCCATTAGGGGTGTAAAAAAAAAAAATTACATATACATATTTTATTAACTTAAAATGAAATTGCAAAGTTTTACCTTCAGTTTATTTCAAAACCTAATCATGAATCATTTTTACATTATTTGTACAAATGAGCTGAATAATATGCATGTTATTTAACCCATTTTAATGTTTTGCTAAGTGAGCAGCAATAATCAGTTTCTCTCAGGTTTTTTAGGTCTTTCTAACTCCACAGCGCTTTGGCATATGTTGTAGTTTGCTTACACACACACACACACACACACACAGTCTTAGATTTCTAGTCATAGAAAAGTAGAAATAGTAGGACAAATGCAAAACCAAAACATTTTGCTTACTTTTTTCTCCACTTTCTCCCCAACTCTGAAAGTATTCCTTTGTTTCTTTTTCAATTATAGAAACGTGCTGTTTAAAGTGGGCTATGTTAAGGCCACTTTTTAACATTTTCTTCTGCTCCAAGAAAACCTTCAAAATTCATTAAGAGTATACAGCATTAAAACACAATTTTGTTTTATCACAAGATCCATTTATTTGGGTTATTATAACTCTAACATTCAAAGAAAACAACCTTCTGAAAAACTGAAAATAAAAATAGTGAGTGTTTTTTAGAAACTACACCAGATGTGGACTAGAGCATTTGTATTTAAGTCTGAAGTAACATGTAGAAGGCACCTGTTACGCAGGCCCTAGACAAATGATAAATTAGGAATCCCACTTCCCGCCTTCCTTCCTCTATATCCTTTTCCCACTCCTGACTCCAGGGCTCCCTTTCCCTTTCTGTTATCTTCTAGTCTTCCAACCCAACCCAAATGCCAACACAATCTCCCAAAGGTCCATTGTGCTTCGATATTATTTTTATCCTCCTCACATATTCTGCAGTTCTATTCCCAAACAAATGTCATTCCTCACTGACACTACCTTCCAGAAGTTGAATTAGAATATAATATAGTCTTAATAAAATAATTTCACAGCAAGACAACTAATGGTTTTAACCCTTTGAGGCATTTCTATTTTAAGAATCTGATAAGCTGTGTGAAAAAAAAAAAAACGGATATATCTGACCAGAGGGATTTTCCAGGTCTCTTGCTTTTGTCCTTCAGGAGAGCCATTCATCCCCCCATACCTCCCCCATCCCCAGAAACAACACTTAATGTCAACTTTTAACTGCTATACTAGCGTACTAGGTAATATGTGGTACATTCACAGCCAGAGCCCATACCAAGCAATCCGACCAATTATTTGATCTGTGTTTTCCATCAACCTGTAGCATTTTAATATTTGATTAAGTGGGGAAAGGAAATCATAAAAACTTCTAAAGCCAATGATCTCTAGCTCAAAAGAGCTCTTACGCGAGAATTTTAGGCATGCAGGAGTGGGAAGGTAGGGGGCCCTCTGGTGAAATAATGCGATTTTCTTGTTACCCTCTCAAATCAAATCCTAATAAGCTAAGTTATCATTCATTCTATTTTTACAGCAAGCCCTTTGAAATTGCTTAGTCCATGCTAGCAACTATAAAACAAAATACCCATTCTTTGTCGGTTACCTGTGGCTTTTCTTCTTTTAAATGTCTCATGATTCTTAAGGTTTTTGAACCAAGGAATAAATTGTTCCTACATTTCAAAATGTCTACTCCTACACTACTAGCTATAATTATTATAGCATAGATTTGTCTTTCTTGAAGATAACAGTGTCACCTACCGGATTCGGCACATCATATGCAACTCCCTTCCCAAACACAGGTGTTGTCAGACGGCTGTAGACATCTTCTGCATTCAGGTCTTCGTTTTTACTATTAAAAAGCAGGGCAGCAGCATCACTCCCCAGAAGGTAAGTAAACGTCTTGCCCACCATGGTAAAACTAAACACAGGTCCGTACTAAAGAGAAAAAAGTACCCATACTGATGTTACCAAAAAATACAGAGCACTAAGACACTAATTTCTTAAATCACAAAACAGTAAATTGTAGAAAACAAATTCATAAACCTTAAAGCAATTCTTCCCCCAGCCTTTGTCCAAATTTATAATAATGTTCATCCAATTGCAAATGGAATATAAGTAAAACTTTTTATTCTGCTTTTTTCACTGTTTATATTTAAAATATTTTCTATCTTATACACAGACATCATAATGTCAATAATTAACTATTTGTTCACTACTTGATTTATGGATGGATGATGTGTCAGGTTTTATTATATACAATTCTGCAATAAATACCTTTGAGAATATAGATTTTTTTCCCTTGGTTAAAGACAAATTTACAGGAGTAGCCAAAGGATATGCCCTTTCCTACAGTACTTGCTATGTGAAGACACCCGCAGTTTATTTAGGTATCGGTTTTACCACTATCTCATCAACACTGCTTCAGTTTACCTCATCTATAAAATGGGAATAATAATAGTACCTACTTCATAGGACTGTTGTCAAGATAAATAAATTAACATATATATGTTAGAGAATATATTTTATTAGCGTGTATATATACATATATATAATATGTATTATATACATATAATATATATATATATATTAGAAAAACATATATATATTAGAGTACCTTGGCCATAACATTAATAAGTGTTTTCTATTATTATTATTATTATTAAAAGCATAGACTTGGAAATCAAACCACATGTAAATCCTAGCTTGGCCACTAGCTAGTAGTAAGCTTAAGAACAAATTATATACGTATAACCTGTTCCTCAGTTTTGTCCTCTATTAAATGAATAAACCAGAAGGGGTTTTGTTGGGCTTCAATAAGATAATCTATATAAAGTAGTAAGTACTGGCACAAATTTAAGTGTTTTATAATTATTAATGTAACAGGAAGAAAAGATAATGGATTATATAACCATAAATAGGTTTGTATATTTGAAATTAGGACCATGAGGGAATACCTGCCCACTGGATAGTTTTTAATCTCTTTAAAGAGGAGACAAAGTCATCTGCTTTGATAGAAAGGTAGGAAAATTCAGAAGTTTAAAAAATAAAGGTTTGAGGGCCGACCAAGTGGCACGTTGGTTAAGAGCTGGCTTGGGACGCCAGCTCTGAGCAGCTGGGCCCCGGTTCATATCTCACATGAGAGCCAGTGACACTGTGCCCTCTACAGCTAAGATGGTGAACAACAGCTCGACCTGGAGCTGGGCTGCCATTAGTCGCCAGCGACAGTGTAGGCTGCAGCCCCTGCTGCAGTGGGCTGCCATAAGCTACTGTGTATGGCCGGCAGCCAGCGTGAGCGGCCGGCAGCTGGTGTGAGCTGCCAAGAGCTGCTGTAAACGGCCATCCAGAGGCCGGTGACCGATCTGCCTCAGCCGGGAAGAGCACAATGATCACAATACCAACATGAGCCAGTGAAGCGACGTCCTCCACAACTAGACTGAAGAACAAAAGGACAGCAACTTGTCTGTTCCCTTCCCCCAATTCCCCAATAAAATCTTTAAAAAAATTAAAAAATAAAGGTTTGAGTTAGTTTCTATGGTGAGTGGGAAAGTAAGCCAACCACAGGAACATATAGGATTGTTGAGCAGTGTTCAAAGTTCACTTAAGGTAGGCAAGCAATCATGAAATTAGGAAAGAACTAATCTGGTACAAGGGAGAGAAAATAACAACCAGGCTCCCTTCCAACGTAGGAGTTTTACCAGTAAACAATGAAAAGATCCAGGGGCAAAGGAAATTCAGGGGTTTGCAAGAGTGCAACTCAAACAATGGACCACGGTCGCAAAGTGGAAAAACAAAGTAAAGAAAGAGGCTGATAGATGAGGACAAAGTAAATGGAACAATGGGCTGGAAGATCTAGTGAGGTCAAAAGCATGGTTGTACGGAAGGAGTTGTATAGGCAAACCAGGAGAAGGTGTGGTCTAAGAATGGTGTGTCTACATTCATATTGTGGAGGTGAAACAGTTAAGAGTGATGACAAGTCTTAAGTGGGTATGTGGGGTAAACGGCTGATAAGGTACAAGAGAGCTCACTGGAGAGGAGAAGGGCAAAGATCTGCGTGGCCATGGTGTGGTGTGGGTCATCCAAATAGAACAAAGTCATAGAAGACGTGAAGTGCAGGTTACAAAACTCCACTGATGCGTGGTTACGAAAAAGAAGGATCAATTAGTGTTGATTTTACCTATGATCACTGAATACAAGATTTATGCCCATGGTTTTTAAACCATAGCTGCCAGGACCAGGTTTCCTCAGTGGTATCTCAGAGATCACCCCAGGACATGAAAGAAGCTAAGAGAGCTCCAAGGGCCCCTCTAGCTTTTAAACAGGAGCAGCTCCAATTTTATCTGTTTCCTATACTGGGGATAAGCAGTAGATAAGAAAATTTTTTTTTAATGTTCTACCATTTAAAAGTTTGAAAAGCGGGC